TAAACCCTAGACCCTGAAACCTAAGCACCAAAACCCCAAGCCTCTTAACCCTGAGCCTTCCCTCACGCCTCGACCCCCGAAAGAGGCATCGTGGAGGGCGAGTTCACCGTAGAGGCCGACCGAAAGGCCGTGGTGCGCCTTGGGGAGGTGGCTGTGGAGAGCAAGATCCGACATCTGCAGGAGAATGGGCCCCTGAACCAGTCTTTCGGTTCGGTTTAAATTGGGTAGTTCTCTAGAGTAGGGTCCCTTTTAGGGTCCTTTTTATAAGGGTGCCGTACTATCTTGGGGACCTAAAAGGAACCCTAGTTTAGAGAACTACCCTTGTTGGGGCTGTAACAATTACCTGTACTATTTTGGGGGTTCAAAACCCTATTCTAACGATTCAGGCCCCTACATTAGGGCTTCCGGCTTCTTCAGGGCCGATGGGGGATTCTGTAGGTGTTGAGGGCTCAGGGTCTATATCGGGTTTCGGGTTCACAGAGGGCTGTTTGGGTGTTAGGGTTTATATTACATAATTGTATATATATATATATATATTTATATGGGTGGTTGTCAAAATTATGGTCCCTTTTTGGGTCCTTATTATAATACGGCACCTATTATTTAGGGTGCCCCAAAAGGGACCATAATTTTGACAGCTACCCATATGCATGCTGATATATATATATGTACACACGTACGTGTATCGGTTTAAGGTTTCCATACAGTGTAGGGAAACCAGTCTGCGGGTTTTCCTATTTTGGCCTGGGGTCCAGTCGGATGTTGCGACTGTTTCTGTTGCAGTGCTTTTTTTCTGTAGGAGGTGGTATTACAGGGTTTGTGCATGGTTTTGTATCGGTGTTTAGGCACGTAGTTTAAGTTGCCATAGTGGAGACATGCAGTAGCTGATATGGCATCCGAAGTCGGTGGCTCAACTAAAATCCCTCTGCAACCTCCGAGGTATCGCTTCTATGCTGCACTTCGCCCCCAGCTCCTCTGCAAGGAGCGGAAGGATCAGAGCGTAGATGAGTTTCTGCAGCGATTCTGTTACGATACCTGGGACATGGCTCTGCAAGACAGCAGCGGCATGAATGCAGTCATGTGTGCCGTGATGTCTGGTGACACGAAGATGTTAAAGCTGCTGGCCCAGTGTCGGGCCGATATGAATCACACTCTCCAGGGCATGGGGGATCTGGGATACTATGATACACAGACGGTGCTCATGGCCGCAACGAAGTCGCAGCAACATCCCTCGGTGCTGCAGACCCTGATTGAGCTCGAGGCGGATGTCAATGCCCGTGCACGGACGGGCCTCGTCGCTCTGTACATGTGCCGCTCCCCGGAGCACGTGAAGGTTCAACCCCAACGCCCGAAACTCCCAAAACGGTCCCTAAACCCGAAACTCTAAATCCTACACCCGAAAAAACGCCCCAAATGCGTCCCCAAAAAAGCGGGGCCGCGCACAAAAAAAAGGAGTTGAAGACCGAGCCCCAAAGCTTCAAGGGTTTCTTTAGCACCGCAGGTGCTCTTGGAGCACTGGGCGGAGATGCCCCACTTCGTGCTCACCGGCGTTGCCTCCTTTGCCTGCCCAGAGACCGTCCGAGCGCTTCTCTCCTGGCGATGTGACCCCAACCAAACTGGCGATCCCAGTTCTGGGCCAGGACTTCGCATGCGGGGGGTTGGGGAAAAAAGGGTTTAGGGTTTGGGTTAAGGGTTTAGGGCTTCAGGGCTCTTGAGGGCTTATGACGTATGGCTGGAGGTGGAGATTGTTCGGGGTGGGCAAGATCGAGTTCGAGGTCTGGACTTAATGTCTTGAAGTGCTCGAGCTGGCTGCCTGTTTTGGTCGATCCGCCGAAATAGCACTAAGGTAAGAGGTGGGCTTAGTCTCTACTCAGGACAAGTAACGTACTTAGAATCTTTGCACCAGCCCCAGCCAGCCCCAAGCCCAGTGCAGTCGAAATCAGGGTCCTATCAAAACTTTCGCTCAAAACGTTTCGCTCAAAGCTTCTTGGCTAACAAAACCCCTCAGTCATTTCTGTAAACCCTAAGCCCTAAACCCTAAACCCTGAACCGTCTAAGCTCTAAACGCAGGCTTCGGGCCTCTGCATGCAGTGGCCCTCTTCTCGCGCCGGAACCGCCGGGCGGTGGCGACGGCGAAGCTGCTTCTGGAGCACCGTGCCGACATCAACGCGCGGAAGGAGATCTCCGGAATCCTCATGAGGCGGGTGCCCGAAATCCCATTACGTGTATATGTATATACCCACGTAAAATGTGTATGTACATATACATATATCTGATACTCTGTATGTAAGTATATATGCATATAGACACATACACACACATATACACACAGACCCACAAAGCATATACGCAAATAAAAGAGTGATAGACCCTACAGTGCTGGATGAGGCCAACCATACGGCTGTAATGCAAATGATGAGGAACTTCGTGCTGATCGCTAGACAGGCCTTACAATGCTTTGCAAGTCTGCACCCAGCGAAGCGTTTTCTGGGTTGCTGGGGCTTGGTGTTTGTTTTATGCCCAAGGTGCCCAAGTAGCCTTCGTAATCGCTACGCCCCGAACCATGAACGTCAAACCGTGAATTTACAACGTGAACATGGCAGCCGGAAGGATTTCAAATACGGTAGCTATTCATTAATGTTCCTTATTTTGGTACAACATTCCCCCAGCCCCTAGCCTAGTCGTTAAGGCCCCTCTGTGAACTCCTTCCGACAGTGAGAAGCCCCTTGCTTTGGGCTTTCGAAGGAGTCGAAACCTTGAGTTGCAAAGCCTAGGCCTTATACCAAATACCCATAAACCCTAAAACCCTTTGAACCTTAAACCCTAAACCCTAAACCCTATAAACCCTAAACCCTATAAACCCTAAACCCTATAAACCCTAAACCCTAAACCCTAAACCCTAGGCCTTAGACCAAGTACACATAACCTAAGTACCCTAGACTGGACGAGATTCTCCCGATAGACAGAAGATACTGCGACGGACGCAAAGCCCTGCGCCATCCGTTTGTTTTGCAACCTGTAGGTGCTAGTGCATCGCAGGCCATATTGAAGTACGCACTAGAATCGTAGATACAATCATACATCAGGAGACATTGTGCCGAACCCCAGACCCAAAGCCTTAAACTTAAACCCTTGAACACAAAACCCTAAAGCACTACACCCTAAACCCTAAACCCTACACCCTAAACCCTAAAGCACTACACCCTAAGCCCTCACCCCCGGCCCCAAGCCCTACACCCCTAAACCCCTGAGGCAGCACTTGCATGCGCGCGCCCACTTGGCGGTCTACGGCTTCGCTTCTTGCTGCCTAGCCGCAGGTAGTCGTTTCCGGGTTTAGGGCGTAGGGTTTAAGGTTTTGGGTTTTGCGGTCGGGGTGTTCAAGGTCGAGAGTTTTATGGGCCTGACAATTTTTTCGTTCCCTTCAGACTCATCCTTTGCAAGCTTTCATAGCAACAGCCTGAAGCCCTAAAGCTTTAAATGTTAAACGGCCAAGCCCTCCCTAAGCCCTTGCAGAAAAACCGCGGTCAAAAGACCGTACAATAAAATGGTGATGAAGCCCTACACCCTACTAAAGAGCCCGACAGAGGCAGCATGGTCCCTCCATCTAGAATTCTTGTGAGCACCCGTGTGAACGCCCCTAAACCCTCAACCCTAAACCCTACAGTATATCGAAGCTGTTTACACCGCAGACCCAAATGACCGCCTTCATAATGTAGTCTTGAACTCCTCATGCAGACATAGAGTAATTGCCACAGGCAGAAGGAGAGGTATGAAAATGCCGTATTGGATTGAGACCACAACTCAGCGGCATTATAAGAACCATTGGCAAGCCAACCTTGGTAAAGGAATTCTACCCTAAACCCTAAACCCTAAACCCTAAACCCTAAACCCTAAACCGTGGATACTGTCCGCAACGATAAATCGAGACCTGAAGAGTTCCTTTGAGCGAGCGCCGAAGGCTAGACAAAAGCAAGCAGGGCACTGGCAACAAAAACCCTACAGGAGGGTTTAGGGTTTAGGGTTTAGGGTTTAGGGTTTAGGGTTTAGGGTTTGGGGTTTAGGGTTTAGGGTTTAGGGGAGGAGCCCCCCCCGTCTTTTCAAGAAGCAGCCCAAAAACACCCGAAGCCTTACAGCCCCATAAAAAGCAAGATGGTCACCAAAACTCTACCGCTTTCGGAACCCTCGACGTGACAGGAGCCTTCACTTAGGGGCTGAGTAGGTAACCTTTAACATAGAATCCTGTTTTGTATAATTCAAAAAAGGTTAACTTTTTGGGCTGGGGTAGTCAGTCCCTAAGCCTTTAAGACCACGAATAAGAGTCCGTGTGTGTGTGTGTGTGTGTTTGTGAGCCTCTTCTGAGACCCTGCAGCACAACAAGGTCCTCACCTAGAGAACCCTTATTAATCCCTCCCTTTCTAAAGCCCTTGTAAAACCCTTGGGTCCGGGAAAAGAGCCCTGTAAGAAGCATCGACTCATGATCACCAAATCCCGAAAACTCTACAGCTCTAAGCCCTAAGCCCTGAAGTCCGGGACCCTAAAGCTTACTCAAAACCTAAACCCTACAGCATGGCCACTAAAGCCCAATACTTTAGAGTTTAGGGTTGAGGGTTTAGGGCCTAAACCCTGAGAGCCCTGTTAATAAAGTTGCTCAATAGAACCTGTATAGGAACCCTATGAGAGAGCCTCTTTCAGAGGCAACATGGTCCTGAACGTGTACAGATCCCCTTGGCGGTTCTTCTTAACGGATCCCTAAACCCTAAACCCTAAACTCTAAACCCTAAACCCTAAACCCTAGACCCTCAACTCTAAGCTCGAAACCCTAGACCCTAGACCCTAAACCCACTCAACCGAGTGAACTACCTCCAGATGAACAGAGTGAACGAGGGCTCGGTAACTGAGTGAGGCTTTTCTGCCTCCAAGTGCAGGCCCTAATAGGGCAAGCCTTTTGACCTCTTGCGAGAGAAAGGGGCTACTGCATTTTTTTAAAAAAACCCTAAACCCTGGACCCTGAAAGGAACCCCCCCTTCGAGGCAATATGGTCATGAGACTGCGGGCCTCCATGGCGGGCTTGTCCCCCCTGGGCTACGCAGCCATGGTGGGCAGCCGGGCTGTGTGTGTTGTTGTTTGTGGTTTTGTTTGGGTAAGTAGTGGTTGTTGTTTTATGTGTCTTTTTTGAGGGTCCTTTGGGGCAAGTGGTGGGTGTTGGGGATGTAAAGGTAGCTGTTTGTAGGATTTGGGGCAGGTCGAGGATGGGCACTTTACAGGGTTTGGTTGGCGTGAGGTGTTACATCAGGGTCTTGGCCTCAAGCTTTTTGGGAGCCTTTGGGTGTGATTTGTTGCTTGCTTGCTCTGATGTATGGATTGCGGTTTTCCTAAGCCCTAAACCCTAAACCCCGGTCCACTGTGGCTTTAGGGCCTCGACCTTTGCGGGCTTTCTGAGGTCACGAAGGGCTTACGAAGCTGTACTTGGAGCACGGTGCAGATCCCATGCCAAACGATCGTGGCGACTCTCCTGCCGACCTGGCCCGTAACAACCACCACTACCATCTCTTGCCATTCTTGGAAGTCTCTTCCGTGCCTCTTTGACTTGCAGGTTGTCTCAAGATCCTGCAACATCTTGTTAAACCGACCCCTGATGAAGAAGTAGAGAAGACCTGATCCTCGAGGATACCAACCCACGGATTCCCGCCAAGCAGGAACTCTGTTCTTTTTCGGGGGTCTAGAATACATGGGGGTTTCTGAAAATAGGGGACCCTCACATAGTACCCTAAATAATAGGATCCTTAATATAAGGACACCCAAAATAAGGTACCCCTAACTTTCGGGAACTCCCAAATATCCTGGCCGGTTGAAGGCCCCGGGCTATGCTATCAAGAGCCTGTGGATCCCTGCCTGCCAGCCATCTCGCAGTTTGGCGGGAGGTGCCGTAAGCTGTTTTGTAATCCCCACTGGCACAGAAAGCTGAAATCCGATATACCTAGCGTACATTACGTAGTGCATTATAGTGCGTTTTAATAGATTATCGTAAGCTCTATGGTGCAGATTTGGTACACAACAGTAGGATATCGTTTAAAATACACCCCCACCACCGAATCTGAAGCCTTACAGCCTGAAGCCCCCAAGCCCGCGACCTTAAACTCTTAAACCCTACAGAACCTTTGCAGAGCCCGTAGGGAAGCCCTTCTGGAGACCCACAAAGCTTTCGCATCTCATACCTGCTAGGGGATTGAAGTGGTGTAAGGCTTTAGGATTCTAGGGTTCGGGGTTTAGGGTTTAGGGATTAGGATTCTAGGGTTCAGGGTCTTGGGTTTGGGATTGTTGGGTTCAGGGTTGGGAAGGCTTGGGTTCCAGGTGGAGAAAGAAGTTGGTTGCGTTCAAGGTAATGTAGGGGCCTCAAGAATTACCTCTAGCATTTTCAGGGTTCCTTATTATCCTTATAGTACAATGGGCCCCAAAACCCCATTCTAATTATTAAGGCCCCTACATGAGATGAAGAGGTGAGGTTCGGGGTTCGAGGTAAAGAGGTCAGATGTCAGCGGAACAACCCAAAGCCTTAAACTCCCTAAACCCTAAACCCCAAACCCCAAAACTCCGAAACTCTAAACCCTAAGCCCTAAACCCTAAGCCCTAAACTCCGAAACTCTGGCTACCCCGCGAAGCCTAAGCGAACGGTGCTGACCTTCGGTGTGGCCGTCAGGGAGTCCTAAACCACCGGGCTCCCAAGAGCCCAGTATCCCCGAATCAAGGAGTATGCTTGGGTTTAGGGTTTAGGCTTTAGGGTTTTGGGTTTAGGGTGTATTACTAATAATATTACTAGTCTTCTTCTAGTTTTTATTCATGGTCATGATTGCTATAAGATTATTACTGTTTTTATTGCTATTGCGATTATTATTGTTAGTGCCAGTGTTATTTATTACGACTGGTATTCGTATTGGCATCATTATTACTGCTATTATTACTATTATTGTTATTATTACCGTTAGAATTACTGTTCTCATCATTACTATCACAACTGCTATTACTATCCTTGTTATTGTTATGATTATTATTATTGCTACTACTACCACTGCTGCTAGTACTAGTACTAGTACTACTACTACTACTACTACTACTACTACTACTACCACGACGACTACCACCACTGCTGCTGGTACTACTACTGCTCCTACTCCTGCTCTTGCTTCTGCTTCTATACTACGACT